TTTTTTACAAGGTATTGGTGTTGAACATGAGCTAACTACACGCCTTATGACATTCGATGCGCACTGGATCAGTCGTACCGAGAGATCCGCGGCATAGAACAGCTGCCTTCCACGACGTTGTAATAACGTCACGGGACGATCGTCATCGTACCGGATGGACAGCAGCAATACTTAAACTCGGTTTGGGCCGAATGTGTTTTCGTCTTTCTCACAATCAATCATCGCGTTCATATAACCTAATCATCGTTCTGCAACTTGAACCAAAGTTCCTCATAGCCAATTTCATCAACAACTTAAAAGATGGCCTGCCAGTGTGGTTCTAAGTGCGACTGCAGCGGTCCCAAGACCTGCACCTGTGATCAGAGTTGCTCATGCAAGACTTGCGGTGTAAGTGAACCTACCTGATAAGCCCCACATGTAATGACCAGGGCCTTCGATACAGAAATAAGTCCGACGCCTGGCATTCCATCATGAATTCCTCTTGCTATTGCAGGATCAGATTGCGTTGCAAATTTACTTTGACGCACGGTGTTTCCTGTCGACATTTGTCCGGAGCGTCTCTAGAGGACCGAGGCTACAATGTCTTGATGGAGAGACAAATGGATGCGGCTGGAGCTGTTTACTTTTATGGTCTGCTTAGGAACCCTTCTCCCTCTATACGTTCATTTAATCACATGTGTCATTACACGCCTACATCGGTTCTGCTTCTTTAACGCTTGCCTTAGCCACACTTCCTTAACAGGGAATCTTGTTAGGCGTGCTCGGCTAGGTCTCGATTCCTTGTCGGTGTTATGGCCAACTATCTTATCTGATAAGATCGTAGGTCACGGGGTTAGACTTGTAAAGCAAAGTGATTTGATTTGATTTTATTTTGATCTGAGATTCTTAAGCTATTCGCCCGGGTGGAGGCATGAGCTACCGCTAGTTTTTCCCTCTTTGTTCTCTTGTTATATATCGCCAAGTTCAGTAATGACGATTTTATTGCCTGATCCAGCTAGTCTTCACGTAGTACACCTCCGTCCGACCATACTAGTAGGCGCCTGTGATCAATGAAAACCCCTGTAAAATCCCCAATGGGGAAAACCAGGGAAATCCAATCACAGCTTAAAGATTCTACCGCTGCCACCTTGACGGGGGCATTGCCAGGGCAGATGCCTAGGTTCGTTGACGTGAGCGTGCAGGGTTGGGGGTTATGGGATTCGAGCCCACGATCTGCTTCTTGTCGTAGAAATGGGTGTATATATAGCTACTTCGAGAGGAATTACCAGGCGCTCTCCCCGTTGAGCCATCACACCTCCTCTCGAATCTTCTTGATTTGATTTGATTTGATTTTCTCAAGCTATTCACCCCGCAAGGGGTATGAGCTGTCGCTACTTACACATCATTCTGACCAATAGCAGTCGTCAGATTCAGTAGAAAGGAGGGTATGGTCGCAGCAGACCGTGCAAAACATCAACGCCGGTAACTCCCAAGTGCCTCTATAATGAGTGTTGTGCACTTCCTCTCTCAGTATCGAGGGGCTAGTAGCCTCCTCCATAAGGGCTCTTCCATATGTTGCGTACTTCCTTATCGGCCGGACGCTGCATGGAGGCAGTGTTGTTACAGTGCTCGCCTGCCAGACCGTCTGGCAGGTTATCTGCCAGAGTGTCTGTTAGATCCGCTCGGTAACTGTTCTGCTAAGATGGCAGTCGTGTAATAGTTGGTCCCTAGGCACTCCCTGTCAATTGTTCTTCCTTACACCTGGTATTGCAGTCTGCCTGTCGCTTTTGCAAACTCAATAGTGGCTTTCACTGCCTTCCAATCTGGTCGCCACTTGTCTTTCTCACCATCAACAATCTTGCCATTCTCCTTGTGGTCTGAATATCCTCCTATAGCATGCAATCTGTTGCAGAGTCTCCTGCTATGTGCCGATATCATGTTCTATCTTCGTTGCCTCCACCCTGGGCAGAAGAATAAGAAGTGTTGGGCTGTTTCTAACACTCCACAATCGCATTTGCCTGTTTCTGACACTTTGATCTTATAAAGATAGGTGTTCAATCTGGATATGTTCGTTCTGAGCTGGGCAAGGATGGCAGCATCTGTTCTGTTGAGCGCGTTGTACAACTTTCTTGTGTGCTTTCCTGGCAATGCCTTGTCGATCTTCTGTGAGGACTTCCCCGTTTTGGCTCCATAGAACTCCTCTTGCTTAGGTGTGTACTTTACTGCTTTTCCTCTTGCATAGATCACAGATATAGGTACTGTTTCGGCAGGTGCTGGCATTGGTTGTGTGTCTGCCGTTGCCACTTGTGCCAGTTCGTTTGCTTTCTCATTGCCCATAATTCCTTCGTGGCCTGGTACCCAGTGGAGGGAAATGGTTGCTCTTCTGATCTTTTCTCTGATTTTTAACACCAAGTTGGTGCTATCATTGATCTTTAGACTCTGGATGCTCTGCAACGCTCCCTGGCTGTCTGAAAATACGCGTATGCGCACCTGGCTGCTCCTGTCGTTCGGGATGCACTTGATTGCCATCCATATTGCTGGCAGTCCTGTGTGGTGACATTGGTGTCGTCTTCCCTTCCCACCAGTTTTGATACTCCCCATGTCGATGTCCATACACCTATTCCTGCTCTTCCGTTCCTTACCGATCCATCTGTGTAGAAGTCAACTGTTGCATGTTCTGTAGCAGTGGCTTGTTTAGCTTGTTCGTTGTCTCGTATGTGAACCTGGGGCTTTGGGACCCATGGTTCACATCCAACAGTGGGGATCTTGTCTGCCTGACGAGCCTTGATGCTCTTGGATAGGACAGCTGCTTTCCGCAATGGAGACATGAAACGCTTCTTGCCCTTGTACTTGGCTAGCTTATGGTGGATGTGAGAATCGTCTAGCTTGTGGATGCCGATCCAGAATCTGAGTGTCTGCTCGTGCAGTCATTGCCGAAGTGATACAATGCCTGCTTCCATGACTGCTGTGTTTAGCCCCATAGTTCTGAATCCTCCTACTATGGCTTGCGCTGCAACTCTCTAGGCTCTCACTAATGTTGTCAGGGTGTTGTCTGATACTGCAAGGTACCATATTGGTAATGCATAGTCCATGTTCGGAACTACCGTGGCTAAGAACAGTTGGTGCATGCTTGCAGGTCAGGTTCGTGCAGTCTCTTTAAGGCTAGTGCTGCCTTAAGAGCCTTGTCCGCTTTGCCTGCAACACGTTCCCTATATCGTAGCCCTTGATCCGTGATGACACCGAATATCTTGACTGACTGGCTGGGGTCTATTGTGTCTTGCTTGAATCGTATAGGCATATCGTTGTCGCAACCATGAGGAAGTTCTGCTAAGATAGATAAATGCTGTTTTTGATGACTCAAAAACGGCACCACTCTTTCTTCCCCATTTTTCCAATTGTGGTAGTACTACATATGAATGGCTCAGGCACCAAGGTTGGAAGAGGCAGACCCATGACCTTCCCAACAACTGCTCTCTGATCTTTGACTACATTGTACACAGTTCCGTGTCCGCAATATTCGAAGTAGAGTTTATACATAAATTGTTCAACATCAGGTGTGCTGAATCCGAGTGACCGGGTCATATACCTCTCCAGTCCTTCGTCAGATGCTGCAATTTGAGCGAAAAGCCGAATGCAGTTGTCAAATTCGAGAGGGGTACCACCAAACTGTTTGTTCTTCCAGTGGTAGCGGTCCTCAAACTCAGCTTGCCCTGGTATGACCTGCTTGACCACCATAGGATCGACTATGCGATTAGATGTTGGATCGACCTGGCACCATAGTCCTACAACGCCATCTCCACCAGACCCGAGAAAACCGGATGGGAGCCAAGTTTCTTACACCCTTCCCGATGCAGCCGTGTATGAGCATGGAATGGACAAAGAATCTGGGTCCACGTATGTTCGAAATAAACGAGTGATATTATCCTCTCGATACATCGAAGTGGAATCCAGCCATAGACCATGCAGTGTTCGTGTGACGCGTAGTTTACGCCATCTGTATCAATTGGAGACCAACACTTCGTGCCAACATCCTCTACCAGACTACGCAACGTGGCGCAGAAAATTCTCATGTAGTCCGATTTTTCCTTGTTTACAAAAGCAACCATGGCAGATGATCGAGCGTCAGAGACGCGACACTGCCACTTCCCGTTGATGTACCTGGAGAGAGAGTAGCCATCGTTGGTCAATAAAATGAACGAAGTAGCGCTGTCACCACTACAATGATCCCTGAGGGTTGTCTCTGTCAATTCGGAGCAGGGCTTGAGCTCGTCAATGCATTTCACTGGCTTGCATGCTGCGAAGTTCGAGCTCAATATACCGAGCGATGGATCGTATCTACAAAATGACTTCTTGTAGCATACTCGCAAGAAAACTGTCTCAGGCGTTGGTTTCAGAGTCGTGGAACCATTTGTGATAGACATTCGTGCATGTCCGATCCTAAGCTGTAGACTTGCTATCTTTCTCCAGATGCAGTGTAGTCGTTCCGTGGCCCGAGAAAGGTCGATCATCCCTTTGCTCATCTCTATCAGATTATCTTCGCCTCTCGACCTCCCGTTAGTCTTGTTTCGAGCTTCCTCGGTGCCGGTACCCTCTTTCGAGGCTTTGTGAGGAGACGACCACATGCAGAGAAAGTCATTTGTTTCCTGGATCTTACACAATTCACCAACAATCCGGTGCGAACTTTTCTCAGTGGCTAGCTGTCGGATGTAAGCGTGTTTTCACTAACGACATCTGCTTCGGAAGCCTGACCTTCTGATGCACTGCTAAAGGGTATTGACATAGCGTGTAAACTGTTCGAATTCACATGTTTCAAAGGTCTGCCGATAGCAATGTGCCGTTCATAAGTAACTCGTTGTGCGTCTGGCAGAGATTGCATATTGAAGAGATGTGCTGAGCCTATTCTCGATGACGAAGATTTCTAGAGGAGTAATAGAAGGGCCATGTAGAAAGAAGAAAGGTACGCTCAGCTCAATTGCTCTATCAGCAGGAGTTTCAGTAGCAAATCGTCTCAAGGCAGCTTCCACCTGTAGCCATGTAGGATTATCATCACATGTGCAGTAGATACCTCCACCCTGCATTTTTTATCATGCTGTCCCCATGCGACTTTAGCTCGTCACACCCAGCCAATCATTTCCTGCGGCGCTTAGAGCGTGGCTTATGCTGGCAGATGGTCTGGATGCAAGCTGTACAAGTATGACCATGTCCGCAGGATGAGGATGGACGAACGGATGCAGAATCTTGGACATGAAGGGTTGACAGCGTCAAATCACCAAAAGTAGAAAAGTGATGCAAAGCGGAGATAGACGGGCTTGGTGGGCCCAGCTGAGCGTGTGCACTATGCTTTGCAAAACAGGAAAAGAGTGGCCATACCATTTCCTCATAACACTTTTCTCGTCAACATGAACCCAAAAATGAAGCTATAACAGCCGTGAGAATATCCTGGGTCATTTTCTTACTAATGGTATAGCCAACTGTTTCCTACAAGTTGCAGCCGAGGTCGCGAAAGATCGAGGGTTTGAGCTGACCATACAAAGTACTTGGAGCGGGTAATTTGGAACCCCTGTGCATGCAGCTAGGCAGCCCCCACGTTTGAGAATCGATATAGCGCTTGCGGAGTGCATAGAAGTGAAGCTTGACAGCGCAAGATGGCAACGTCTGGATCAGCTATGATCATGCATGTCGTCTTGCATTCTGTCATTGGATAGTGTAGCGTATCACTGAAGCTTAAGGTAGGTCGAATGCTATGCGCCGGTAGACGTAAAGGCTTAGGCCGGTGGACGACATCGCGAACCACGACAAGGTGTGCAAAAACACCTGCAGAACCGCAGGCTGCAAAACTGTTAGCACGTCATGAGCACCCTACGCCATACGTAGTCTCGCGCACGTGCGACACTCCTCCAAAGACCACGAAGCCAATGACTCTGACAGCGCACGTTTTGTAGTTGAATCTAGCGTCGCGATAGATGGCATTGGCATAAACTGTGAGCGCGTAAAGTAGACTCGTGGAGAAGTAGTTTCTGCTCATCCTATGTTTGTGACGATTATGCGGAAGATTTGCAGAACGACAGTACGTCGGTAGAAGTGCCTGCCGAGCGAGCCCAAGTACGGTGCTCTCCAGAAGTCTTCGGAGAGAACTCTACGACTGCAAAGTCGCCGGGAGGATGGAACAGTAGAAGCTTCCTTGACTATACGACCGAGGCCGTAAATTGCTCACCTCCGGGTGGCCTTAGCCTGTAGCCGCTCTCCAAGAAATTCACCAACCGGATTGTGATACTCACGCGATAATTGACTTTGCAATCAGAGCGATCGATCAAAGAGGGAAAAAACGTTTGTGATAACCGTATGGCTTGAGGAGCGCCAAAAGTCATGCCGAAAAATATGGAGCGAGACACAAGCATGCTAGTGCAAATCAGAAAGGTTGCATTCTTCCATGTCCGCAGGTCTCGATAAAGTTTCTAAGGGCACTTATATGAAGAACACCTTCGACGACCATGTAAGCGGTAAATTCCAGGGCGCAAAGTTTGTTTGTCGTTATCTTTAAAGAAGTAGCAGACAATGTTACCATTCGCATCGCTTATCAACTCTTCGTTAACTAGCGCTTTTGAAAGGACTGACTTGCCGCAGCCAGGGTCTGCAGATATCCAGAGCAGGTCATCAGCGGCACTATCCTTCCAGCGCTGATACAACGGATGAGTCAGCGCCCACTGGCAGGTCTGCTCGACACGATCGGGGTTGATGTTCTTGAACTGCCCGTATGTGCTCCGATGTTCTTTGTTAAGGTACCTCACTGCTTCCTGCTCAAAATGTTGTTCTGTCGAGTGCGCGTGTGCTTTCAACACGTCTGTCGAGGACTTCGACTCTTCACACGACTTTTTGACATTGCCCCCGACTAGATATCAATCTCATTGTTAGCTTCGTTAGAGATACTCGAGACGTACTCGCAAAGGCTTTATGTCACAACACTCCGCCCGTATATTTCTCGAGCGAGCTCACCACGACGTCTCCGAGCCGTGTGTCACGCTTCGCTGTCGGTGCGCCGCCGCCAATGCCGACCATCAACCTGACTCTGATGTTAGGGAAGCTGTTGAGCATGTTTGCCGCGACGCTTGCTGCAGAGCTCAAGCCGTACGTGCCGCAGGGAAGGACCGCGATAAATATGTTGTGGCCTAACATCTCGCATAGGGTATAGCCATTGATTTCGTTAGCGGAAACGTGTGTCGGAAAGTCGTGCTCTTTGTCGAGAAATTGGCGTGCTGCAGTATATTCTGTGGTCAAAGCGCAGATCCATCCTACAGTATACTGCTGCGGATCTGACATGCTCGTAGTCGAGTTCTCTTAAGCAGATAATGGATGTGAGTATTGACTATGGGATATTCTGACACATCAGACCTCAAGTGGGTGGGCTCATTCTCTTCTATCCCGTCTGGCTCACATGCGAAGGTCTTCGTAGGCGCAGTAGCTAAGCCGCTTGCAGGCGCCTGGCCATGCAGCCAACATGACCGAGCAGCTCAGCCGCAAGATTATTGGAGGCTTACAGCCTCACCAACGAACGTCCCCTTAGAGATTCATTGCCCCTGGCCCTTACACCTGAAGGATGACATGACAGGAAGAGAACTATGTTTGGACATGCTCTGCCGTGGAGCGAAGGTACAAGAATGCCTGTCACTAGACGTAAAGTGGAGCTATAATCCCTTAGCAGCGTTCCTTTTCGTGGTCGTGCGCGATCGCGCTAAGGCAACATCAATTTGCGAAGCAGCTTGGCGCTTGAAGTGGATCCAGAGCGGATAATACATGGAATCGGTGGAATCTCTGCTTCATGCCATGCCATTCCGCCACTTCTAGCTAACATTCCATTCCATGTCAAGTATCTAGTGAAACGATGCCAATTCCAACTCTGTGATCGTCGTCGCCATCACCCTGTCTTTCAAGAAAGTGACCCTGTCCTTTCACGTGATACCTCCGAGCTCTTGGCATGATTATGTAAGTTCAGGAGCAGGGTTAATACTTTAGCAAGAGTTTATGGGGATCAACGTATCAACTCTTAATAGCAGTAACGTTAGCCATACTAAATGGTGGAATGGTGAAATATTCCACCTAAATTGACGATTCCATTCCATGCCATTTGACATCCACTTTGAGTTGATCTGGATTCAGCCAGTTGCGTGGACGACCCTGACGTTTTCTTCTTTGTTTTCTTCTTTGTTTTGTTTCTTTCTTTTTTTGTTTCCTGAGTCATACCTTCTATTTCTGAATTTGGCAACAGTGATCAAACAGATGTGGATCAAATAGAAACAGCTCACACCTCCTGCGGAGTAAATAGCTCGAGAAAATCCAATCCAATCAAAACACTGCCAACACATACCTTGGCAAGTGGGGTAAGCAGTCCATTGCTTCTTTTCCATCCGTTATGCACCTGTCATACACTGCTTCAATACGCGAAACATAATCAACAAAGGAAAAGAGCGGTGACAAACTTGTTATCAGAATTCCCGTTGTAGATTCCATGATCAGCAGCCGAAAGGAAGAAGCATTTCGGATTGTTGAAAATAGCCTCGAAATAAACACCATATGCTTAGATATGGTGTTGCCTTCTTGCGTAAAGCAGATGATTCAGAGTCCATCACCTAGGTACAAAATCGATACAGATGACATCGAATGTACCATACGAGGCTTATTAGGGACATACAAGATAACAGAGCCTGAAGTTGAAAAGTTCATCGCTCTTGCTTCAGGGTACGATGATGTGTTGATCCTTCTTGAAAGGCTTGTGGTGGACCACAAATACGATGATGATCTTGAAACCTTTGTCGAACGCTCCTCTTTTCGTGTTCAGAAGAGTGCGAATGAGGATCCCAAACTTCTGGAAGAGGAGCGAGACGAGCTGTTCAAGAGGTTGAGCACACTGCATACAATATCAAGCGTATGTGACAGGTGCAAAGTCAACCAGATCATCGCGCTATGGAGCAGATACTTCATGACTCACGAACTCCAGCAAGACAGTTTGGCCGAACTTTCAAAGCTAGCAGGTAAACAAGTGCTTCTACAGGACGACACGGACACCGACGTCGATACGCGGAGGTGCATAAGAACAACGTATCTTCCCATGCCGAATTGGCGCCAAGACTCGTTTGCTTTCTTCTAAGTGATAAGTAGACATGAAGAGGAATTTCCGCGAGAAGGCGAAAGTGCATCTGCAACGGCTGGAAATTCTGCAGAGAGAATAGGAAATGGAGGATTAGACAAGATGAGCGCTAGAAGAAAGCCTACGACATGATTTTGAGGTTACGGATGATAGGATGAAGGAGATAGAGCTTAAGCCATGCGTGCCTGACCTGCTGTGCTGGCGAGATGTGATGCGCTCGTTGGTAATCTCATGAACAATCAGAGGAGCGATATCAACGCCTGTGCATTTAGCGATGGTGCTGAGAATCGTCTTGCGTGCCAGTTCGATCATCTTGGGCCAGTCTTTGGTTTCGACTGGTTTGATGCCTTGCGCGGTCTCGGAGTTTATCATTTTTCCGTTGGCGTTACTCTGTTGGATATCCTTTTCTGTGGCTGTGGCAGCTTTGGTAACGTTCTCATGGTCTCCGAGGAGATGTCTCACCGGCACCAGCACGACGAGTGTTTCCTTGCCTTCAGGGGCAGCTGTTGGGTCGGGATGACTAGGAATGTTGACGTAGAAGCTGGGTTCACTTGGAATCAAATTTCTCTTGAAGATAGAATCGAAGCTCTCCTTGTATTCATCAGCCAAGAAGATGTTGTGAGCTTTGAGTTCTGCTAGCTTGCGATCCAATGCCCAGATCGGTCGAGAGCTGGAACTTCTCGCCGTCCCCGAACCACACGTTGTAATTTGGCTCGCATTTGACTATATGTACACCTTCGGCTTCCAGACATGTGTCGAGGTCGGCGAAGGTCTTGTGAAACATACGGGGGAGGAGAAGCAGAGATGGGCCTTGGTCGAAACGCTGCGTCCTTGTCGTCAGCTTTGGGCAGATACAAACGGGATTTAGGACGTCGTGATACACACCTAGCCTTCATGATGTAGAAGGGAGCAGCGACCTCCGATAAAGTCGTTCTTCTCTAGCACAGTGACCTTGAAGCCTGCTTTGGCCAGTCGCGCGGCCGTCGAGACTCCTCCAGCACCAGCACCTGTAGTGCAACCTGTAAGCGTCTTGTGCTTGTCGGCAGCGGCGTCTCATAGTACACACCTACGACAATGGCAGTCTTTTGGTTGGTGGCTCCGCCCATGGTTGGATTCAAGTGTCGACCAGCCTACCGCAAGGAACTAGACAGGTAACAGTAGGTGGCTACATGTTGTAAAGCAGATAGTGTCCAAGCATTCAACATGGCGTTTTGCCGTCCAACTCCCGGGCAAGCCATTGACAAGCTTGCTCATGCTCGTGCTTCACATGTAACCCCACTTTCACGCTACGGCCCGAGCGCTCCACCGATCCATATCAAAACTGTATCACAACAAACGAGTCAACCTCGCTGTAACTTGGTCAGACCATGTTAACGTGATTGAGCAGAAATTACATTATGCATGTCGACAGAGTATCTCCACTTTTATGTCACTGCAGCGCTTTCCAAGCCACTGCCAATCTTCGCCAGCCGTCTACTGTTGCCTTTCCTTTCCTGCCCCTGTAGCCCGGTCGCTTCAACGTCCGTCCGATCTCCATGTAGCTCTCCGTAGCAACACGCATAGGTCCACGTACTTCTGACGGCAGCTTGTCAATTGCACCACGCGAGTCCTCGTACAATGCAAATGATCGCTCTAACAAACGGTTCCGCAGTCGTTCAAGCTTCGACACAAACAATTGATCCTCAGCGCCAAGGACGGGTTTGGCATCCATGATCGTGAAAACCTGAATCGCTTGTTCCGGTGTCAGGTTCTCCTCCTTTAGCCAGCTTGTCGGCAGGTAGACGCGCTGCATCAGAGCATCCGTGTTGATATCACGCGCGATATTGGTGTACTGAAGCGCTATTCCCATAGTGTTTCCGGCATCCAATATCTGCTCTTGTAGAGTGGGCGATACTTCCCCGGGATAGTGGAAGAAAATGAGCTCAATACACATGGCAGCTACCGTGCCAGCAACCCGTGACGAATAAGTGTCCAGATCATGTTTCGATTTTATAGGGAAGGCAGAAGGTTGGGCTCCTTTACTTGTCTGAAATCCTAGATCCATCTCGAACCCTTTGAGAAGCTCATAAAGATGTTTAGAAGAGAGGCGCGAAGTGGGCAATTGTAGCAATGCGGTATGCGTGCTCCGAGGGAATTCAGTGACAACATGACGGACAATACTTCCAATGTTTTGATCATGCGCCATCGGGTCCTTAACTTTGTATGAAAGGTCCAGGAAGGTACGAAGACGTTTGATCCAGCTGCGCGCTTCGAGGCCTGAGGCGGCATTGTCAATCAGGTCATCAGCCACGCGACAGAATGAGTACAGCACGATCAAGTCCACTCTTAGGCGGCTAGAGAATGCTGCACTAGCCAGATAGAAACTGCGGCTTTTCTGATGGAGGCGCTTAACAGCTTCAGACAAGCCCTCGATACGGTCTTCGTCGTATGCACCAGCCGGGAGCAGTAGGGCCTGGACCAGGAGTGGAGGCGAAGGAAGGGCGGGTACGGAAGGGAAATGGGATGGGAAAGCGTTAAGAATGGCGACAGCATTGTCAAAGGCTACAAGCCCAAAAACGATGAGCGTATTCGTGAGAAGGAAGAAGACGGCCTCCTCTATTTCCAAACCAGGCCATAGGTGTGTTCCAAGCTTCGTACCAGATTCGATGACCCACGTTCCTCTTCGAAGAGCCAGTGTATCGACAGACCAGAGGTACAAGGTCGGAAGAGCGATTGGCAGGAGAGTATTGGTAATGGGCAGACCAAGAATGAACTGATATGCCAGCGACCACAGCAAAAGCAAAAAGGGAACGGCCCATGCAAGAATCAGACCCATATATGTCCCGGCGCCTTCATCTTTGACCAAGTTCATGGCTTTCTTGAGGAGCAGACCAAGGACAAGTTGACCGGCCAACTTGATGTACTTCCAGCGATCATTCTTCTCCTGGCGGCGCAGATAGACGGGGTGGAAGGTAGGCTTGCTGCAAAGCAGGTACAGGAGCGAAGTGTTGTAGGTCTGAATAATGAAGAAGAAGACCTCCTCCAATGGGATATCGAAGAGTTTGAGTCCAATGACGGCGTCTTCAGGATATGACCAGATGCGGGTGCGGATCAAGTAGGAGTCCCATGGAGTTGTGGTGACAAGGGCAATCTGAAAAAAGTGAGATTGACGACGTAGGAGTTCATGGTCGAAGGTCATACAGTGACAAGGAAGAGGATCTTGTAGACATCAAGACGAGTCAGAAGAGGTCGGTAGAGTAGAGTCAAGGCAATTGCAGGAGGAATTGTGTACTTGACGTGCCTATGCAAGCATCAGTGGTCTGTTGTGGGATGATGATTCAAAGCAGAAAAGGGGGTTTCCTACACAAGCGCATAGTCGTAGCCCATGCTTTCAGACAATTGCTAGAGACGAGGCTGTCGCAAAGCCATAGCACACAATAAGGACCGTCCGAGTCGAGTTGCGCAACTATACCACCGAGAGTCGAGAGAAGGCCTTCCTCGACAGTCGCAACTTGGGCTGATGCAGAGCAGCATCGGCGGCTTCGGCTGTCTCGGTACCGCCTGCCCCGATCGGCGATGCTGCGTGCACGGTCGCACCTGCCCAGATCGATGGAGGATGTCTCTTCCAAGTCTTCCGTAGAAATTGATGTCATGGTTACACAGCACTTTATGTGACGGGTGTCTGGCACTTGATTGTGTCAGTCACCCTATGCTCGCCCGAATCATGCCATTGCTAGCCCGACTATTGTCGTCCTACAAGCTTTTTTGATGCTCAAAGTGCCTACTTCCATGCCTGAGCATACTTTCACTCAGTCATAACGTCTTGCAGACTGTTAGCCCATAACGCAGGGATATGCCTCTCTATGCGCAGAAGAAATGCCCGCCACAGCATAAACATGCGTATGCGCAGCTAACCATCATCATAAGAGAATGATTTGTGATTGGCCCCGGTTCAGGATAAAGAGGAAGGTGAAGTCGCGCGATTTCGTGAGGCCTCAGTTGTCGAGACACCTGCTACGTACGGAAGGTTCGCGACAAGAACAGGAGTTTTGATCCACTTTTGCTGCTTTCACACTTGCTCTAACGTATAACCAAAACGTCAGTTATCGTCAACTTCATCGCTTATTCTAACGCAAGGAATCCTAATATTGAGCTTTTAATAGGGGTATTAACTAGACAAAGAGACGAGATTGGTGCTGCGGACAAGGATGGCAAGACAGCTCTCCACTGCGCAGCCGCTGCGCGCTCTGGGAATGCTGTCTCGCGTCTACTCGGTGGAGGTGCTAAGGTCGATGCTGTTGGCAAGGACATCAAGACTGTACTCCGCTATGCAGCAGCTTCTGGCTCGGAAGACACTGTTTGGTGCCTGCTCCGCGAGGATGCAGACATCAAGGCCGTGGGTAAGGAAGGCAAGACTGCTCTTCATCATGCAGCCCGTCTTGGTCTTCTCAATGTTGTCCAAGTATTGGTGTCAAGAGGTGCTGATATGGAAACCGCAGACGTAAATGGTCAGACTGTGATCCAATGTCTCAGGGTCATTGTACAAGAATCCTTCTGGAATAGCAAACAACTTGCTGTTGCGACATGTCTCGGGGAATGCAGGCTTGAGTGGCAGTCGCTTTTCTTCCTCCCTGCCGAGCATGCCTCTGTCGATCCTGATACGGGTCTAGCACATGTAGCACGAATCATTGTGGGGTTGAAAGAACCTTCGGAGAATCAAAGACTCTGGACAGAGTTGAAGAGTAATATTCTTCAGACAATTCCAGAAGAACTCAGACCATTGATTGCGATCGAGTCAGTCAAGACTAGCCAGAATCTGTACTCCTTCGGAAAGCACATCGATGTCGAATCTATGTCGCAATGTGATATGAGTATCAGGCACGCCAGTTGCCACGAACGCCCTCCTCAAATTTGTTCTGGTGACAGAACTGTCGTTCAGAAATCTGGAACTCCACATAGATTCGGAACTTTGGGAGGGTTAATACTCTCCAAGGTGAACGAACAAGCAACAGCGCTCACCTGTGGGCACGTGATAACCAGTGGATGCAACCCACCCGAACCAATCGTCATCGTCGCAGGAGATCATAACTTCGGCAACCCAACGGTCAAGTGGTCTCGTTCTTGACTGGGCAATTTGGGTGATTCCCAAGGATCTACCACTTGCACTATCGAATCGTTGTCATGAATATGGGGTAAGTGGAATGTTGATGACTCTTAACAGATGGTCGGAAAAGACTTCGACTAGCTGGTTAAAATGTATGATGACTTGGTTTCTCTGATATATCACGTAGAATTTCCGTAAACAGCTTCAGATGAAGCCAAGTGCACGATATGGGTGGGATGTTACGTGGGGGAGAAGTTAACAATCCACGCTGGAAAAAGGTCGGGAAATGCAGAGCAGCAACTAACATCAAGACTGGGTTAGTCTGTCCCTGCTTTATCAACGGCGCAATCAGATAATTCTCTCTTGTACGGTTCACCGAATCGTGATGCCCCTTCCTTTCCTATACCCATGCTGCTCATCTGGCGTTCAATGGAGCCAGTGTTCATACCTGAGCAGCACCTGTTCTTTTCTCATTGCTCAGTCTATCTGAAACCTGCAAGTGGTATTACCAGAGAGGTCAAAAGATCGTGCATTTCCACAGCCTGAACAGCCGCCGTACAGCATCAGAAAACTTGGTCTGAGATTTACCAGGTCGCCTCTTCTGTACTAGTATAGGTATAGAGCCAGGTTCGATGTTGAACAGCTGGTATATATCCATGCTTCGCATGTCAGTATATGTTCTAACGACTGGACCATGACTGTCATCATGGTCTTTGTCAATAGAAGTGTATATACTTAGCGGGCAGTTTCTTCCTTTCCCTTGGTTGTGTCTCTGGTGAATAGTCGTCAAATGTGGAAAGGTTCATGCAGTTATACAGTGGATATGCTCACAGTACAAGACTAGAGATATTTCAATGACTGTCATGAACCTTGTACTGGTTGAATCTTGAGCCATCGATATTCAACAAGCTAGGTTACTAACGTTTCTTATGCCAGGAATGTTCTCTGCTTATCAAACCTCGAGTAGTATTGACTGTTGCTTTCCTTCGTTGATACTTGTGTTGACGCAACGATGAGCATTGATCGACCTACGCCTTGTTGTTAGTGATGGTGCCTCATGCTCGACACAAGGTCAAATAACCCAGACTATCGCAACTTAACCAGCTTCGCATACGGTATTGCGTTTTACACCGCTGCAGCTTGTACAACGGTCGCTGATCGCAAGGGAAAAAGCTCCTGCACGATGGCCAACGCTAACTCTCCCATTCCAGGCACTGGATCAGTCGCTACCAAATCAGAGGTACCGCCTTCCTCGATGGCATATTTTTGATCTTTTACTGACTCGACGCAGCTTTCCATTGCTCAGATGGTTCAAGCTGTTAAGGATCAGTACAAGGAGATCAAAGAAATTGGTGATAACTCCGACCCTCTGCTGGTGGCCTGAGTATACCACCCGGCCTGGCTGAAACGCCGTCTTGAAGCAACTTAGCCAAGGGAGCTTGACGCCCAGAACATGGACCCGGATCACGTCGATGCACTTACCCGCATCGTTCAGGCAGACAAGGACGAGTGCGAGCTGTTGTCTGAGATTAACCGCCGCATTAGGATATCCAGCGAGATGTTCGATGGCAGTCAAGCTGAAGGCCAAGGCTTGGACAACATACGGGGATAGCGAGGTTTACGATCTTGCTCAGGAGGCTAAAGACAGAGTAAAGGAATTTCGTGCGGAGGCTACGGCAGTCGCAGAGGAGATCATCAAGCAACGCCAGGAAATCATGGATGAGCGTTGATCGCGAGTGGAGTCGAAAAGACTTTCACATCCACTTTCCTCCGCCATCAGATTGCCTTTCAACCACCTTTCACCTATATCGCACACCGTCATGTTGTCTCATTCGAGTCCAGAAGCTCTCCCACATCGAGAACTGAACTCATTCATTTCGCTTCCTTCTCCTTCCTTTCTCTACCACATATTCACAGTCGACTTTTTGAGCGTCCCATCAATCAGGTCCCCACTTCCACCACAAGACACCATTCCACAACAATGCTCAGACCCCGCTGCACCAGCTCAAATAACATCATTGAAGCGCCATATCTTTCACTATCACGTATACATACGCAACCCACGAGTTTAGACATTCAGGATCGCTCTGCCTACTTCAAGAAGTCTGTTTTCGTCATTAGACAGATCTTCCCACAACAATATTTCCTTCAAGATTTTCACAGACGACCCAGGACCTTGACAATTTTCAACATGACCGACGCATCATCCAGTTCTCAAGATCAAAGTCAACAGACCGGCGTACAGAGGCCGATGCCTTCTTCCCAGGTCAGCGCCGAGACCAGCAACTCTGAGCAGGCAAGTTCACATGAACAGGAAACACTTGGCGTTTTCTGACTATCTTCTGACTATTTTGTGCTATTAGTCCAAGGTCAAGGAGGAGCTTAAGACTGCGTTCGTTCAGCTTTTGGCCATCTTGAACAAGCGACATTCGATCGATCAGAAGATATACATCCGCGAGCTTTAGAAAACTCATCACACTGCTACCTTTGTCGCCAATTACTACAGAAGAGCTGCGCACGTCCAGGTCCAAACTCTAGATCTGGATACTGCCAATGCTAGCGACATACCACATCTTAGGATGATAAACGACTGCGAAAAGCAGGCTTTGGATGATTTTCACGCCATTCTCAAGATTATGCGAGCTGGTAGGGCCGTATTTGCTGAGGTCGAAGAAGCAAGTCGCAGGATCTTGTCGCTGACCGATGAAACGCCTTACCGTAAGTTCCTTGCAGCTATGACTCAAGGCGCCTTGGAGGGCATGCAGAGAGAACCTAGGAACATGGAATCGTTTCTGATAAGGCTTTCAAAGTACTCGGAATGTGACAACAGGTATAGACGTGGTTCGGCGAACGTCAAGGATCCCGTATCCCACTTGAAAGTAGAGTCGCTAGCAAGTCAGCAGGTGCATCGAGGCGCGCCTTCTACTCTGGAGGGTGGAAGCCACATGACATGTGAAAGCGTCTGCCTAAGCGCAGCTTCTGACGCCTGACTTCCTACTTTCCACTTCCCAACCTGATCTTTCTGCTTCCACTCTTCAACTCATCGCACACTGCAAATCAAAGAATTTCACCAAACCTCTCTTCAACTCTTTCACAATGTCTGACCGTCACTCCGAAATGGCCTCCACTAAGAACATCGCCACCTTCTTGGTCGCCCAGGACTCGTTTCCTCCGGTCGCTAAGTGTGATGGTGTTACGATCCGCAAGTGGCTGTTCGAAATGAACACTGGTCTGTCAAGAAACAGAATAAGGTCTAAGGTGGGTCCCATTCCTGACCGCATGCGCACCTGAGGTAAGTGCATCCTGTCTCGTCTGAATCTCGTCTGTATGCTTGCTATGCACATTTGCACAGTCGACAGGCTCACAGTAAAAAAAGACAATCAAACATCCGTGCACATTGCACGTTACTGGCGCAATGCCGGTCGTTGAAGGGGATAGAATGAACCAAGCAGCAAACGCGAAATCTCTTTGATCGAAGCTGGTACATTTTCTGGGAATGTTGGCAAACAAATCCAGTGCGTCGTCATTAATCGCGACTGCAACGCGTCACGTTGACTATTGTTAGGAGGAAGATTTGTTTGGCGACTGTTCTCGAAGCATCCAAACATGCCTACTCAGGCTTATAATTTCACTCCACAAGCTCGATTCTACTCCAGCCCGCAACAGTCTAAGCATTTCAGATCGTCATGAGTGCAACCACTAAATTAGGCGCAAACGATCTTATCGTTGAGCCTGTTAACAGAAGCTGTCGCCATGTATGACGATCTTCTGGAGCAGCTTCGCGAGTTTATGGTAAGTGATTCGAGATATTCTTACACGCAAGCGCTTTCTCCGTGGTCGTGGCTTGTTGTGTACGAGCCATCGAAATGCACAACGACAATCTATGAAGGAGGTGTGACCATTGAGAATCACAGCTTCCTCGGCTCTCGGTGGACATCCTTCTTTTTCCGTTGCGTTCTTACATTGCGACAGCACATCTCAGTGGTGCAGCTCATCCTTGGAGGCTGGATTCCCACACAAATTTGTGCTTATGTTGTTCATAATCAACCCGCAAACCCGTGCCTAAAGAATTCGGCGCCATCGAGCTCGCCGCTCTTCTCTTTGGTGAAACCTATCAAGTAAGCAGTACACGCAGCCAGAGGATGAGGATTCACTGACATCTTATCAATCAGGACGTCTTGCAGACCCCCGAATACCGTCATTTTGCAAAACTCGCCAAAAGACCCAGCCCAGACTCTCCCAGAGTCTTCCACCAGATTGTACGCAAGATCACTCAGCAAAGCATCAGCACCCGCAACGCAATGCTCTCTCATCTCATCTGCAAGACCTCGAAGGCGTGCGAGCCTCCAGTCACTCATCCTGAAAACTCGCTCGATGTGACTTCAGACGTGCTCTTCAATGCCATCTGCCACCGTCTTCAGCTTGGCAACGACCCTCCTTGACCTTCAAAAGAGTTGGCAGAACCACCATTGACTGTCTCAAGCGTTTGAAGGAGCAAAACCAGGAGTGGGCGAAGATTTTGGATGGTGTATTGAAACAGTTCAAGCCTGAAACTGTCAAGATTGGTCTCACCCAAGTCAAGAATGCTATGCTGAATTTGGAGGGAATGATATTGGGTTGTCTTCGTACAATCCATGCCCATCAGAAGAAGAAGGGATGGTAGAGGATTGTTTCCTTTCTTCGAGACGCTGCCAATGATAGGTAGCGACGAAGATGGTATCATGGGCCGAGCAGTTGGTCTGATGCCAACAGGATCTGGCTGTTCAGTGAGAACTGTTCTCTTTCAAAATCCTATTTTGCATTCTAAGTGCTATTTGTGTCGCATGTTGAGCATATGAAGATAGGTTTACAGGGAAAGTGGTTTGTAATCGACCAGAAAATTGTCCAGATATGCAGATTGCAAAGTTCCATCCATGATCTAGTGCCTCAAGATGTACTGACTGGAGGGACGTTTAGACAAAGAACGAACAACAGATATGGATTGGCAGATGAGGTTGACTTGTCTGATGACTCAGCATGACTAGACGATGCACTTTCCCTCTCTCGTCAGCACTTCCGAGCATCCTTCAGCTTGATCCAATTCACTCAAAATCTTTTATTATCCTATTCTGTGGTATTATCATCCTTCTGCCTTAGGCGGAAGCAGACGCGTAACGCGAATGTTGAAGCGATGCATTCTGGTCACGACTTGCTTGCTGTTCTCACCCGTTCCAACACTTGTGCTAGAATTGCGTGACGCACAACTTCATGCACATTCTAAATCCTCTGATTACAACAATAGTTTCCAATGTAAATTGTGCTATGACCAGCTCTTTTCTTGCGTGTTTATGTCTGGCCCCAAAACAATCATGTGGTTGCATAGCTCGAACAAACACGACTCTACCGGCCTCTGAGCATGCTCACATGTATTTGGTGGTACAGTAGGAGAATGCGGCCGACAAACTGCTGTTGATGGATGCAAACAAGCAGACTACCTGTTCTCTTCGCGAAACCGAATAAGCTTTATCGACGATGGACATATTCGCCTGATGTGTGAACGTCATCAACAGATTCTTCGAGGAAGGTAGTCTTCCGTTGTTTAGCACCAGCGACCGCGCCATCCAGTTTCCTTCTCTCTGACTTCTTTTCGAATTTCTTTATCCTGTGTCCCGACTCCTTGCTAGTATGGCTGATAACAACTATGGCGTCCTGACCATGTGGGGATGGACTCCTCACACGCCCTGCTACATGGCTGCCCTCGACACCAGTACTCGAACTCCGTGTCCGAACCGCCCTCTGACGTAAGTCTTTTCTGTCTGCTCTCGAGCCTGGCTGACCACACTGATACTTTCCAGGAACTTGATGTTGAGAGCGAATATGACCCAGCCTTTCGTTTGTTGCGCGACCGATTTAAGAGCCTCAAACAAACCTTCCGGGAACGCTCGTCTGGATAAAGTGGGCTGAAGTACGAGTTTTGTCGCGTAACAGCCATCCACGACCATGTTTATCGCATCGACAACAATACCCCAAGCTCAATACTCGCTATTCAAGAAATCTTGGAAGTCGATGGGGATACCCTTCGGAGCGTACGCGGGCAACTTTTCCATGAGGACCTTGAGCAGAAAAAATCCTTCGGTATTTACGTCAAGCGGGCTAGAACCATCTTCGAGCAGCTTGAAGTTCTTTTTGAGGCTAGCGACTTCTTACTTGACAAACTCCGAGTTCTTCATTACCCTGTTGACGAGGTCCGACACATCGCACGCCGCGATAAGCTGCTTCATGCTCAGAAAGATCTTGACTTCGTGATCAAAGAACTTCATAGCGAACTCTGAAGAGGAACTTGACGAAAACGAACAAGCTCATGTACGCAAGAGGATTCGTTTTCGAAGGACTGTAGACTCACTGATTATTACTAAGATACCCAGATCGATCAACTCTGTCAGTCTTTGAGGATGCTGACAAAAGGGACAGTGGTATTCAAGAACGAACTCTTTCAATATCTGCGTTATCGTACTTGGGAACGCTATGAAGCTGCTAGAGTTTTGCTATGATACGCTTCGCCGTTTACTTATATGTGTATATATCATGGCAAAGTGGCACCATGAAAGACCAAGCCAGTGACAATAATATACTCGGTATGGGCAGAGAAATCTGAATGAGAAAAGCCAAGCTAAGGGGTAACAGTGGGATACTTCCAACGCGCGAAGCAAGTTCAGAAGGTCTCTTGGACTTATCGTATTGCTCTGCTTGCGTCAGTCGCAAACCTTGTGCCGGTTTTTTCTAGCCATTCTGCAACATCTCAATCGTCAGCTATGGACTACAGTGAGGACATGTGACTTTGTAAGATACAATGTTGATGTGCTGACATATTCCAGGACTCCTTCTGCAATTTGAACTGCAAGCCTGATGAACTGCTCATCCGGCTTCTCGGTGTGCAGGTTGTTTTGGTCTACGATTCGGTCTCGTGGCGGGCGCCACGGCTAAGTTTGGACGATGGCCAACTCAGCAACGGACTTTATGCTTTTTGGGTGCCTACCTCAAGTGTTGTCTCACGTACGTCAGAAGACACTTGCTCACCACCGTCGATGTCGTCAGTGTTGTTGTTGTTGTTGTCAGAGGGTGCTTCGGCGCGCTGTGCCTTTGCGTCGTCGACTTCCTCTTTCTTATTGACTTCCGATCCGTCCTCGTCCTCCTCGTCGCACTCGTTGTTGATGGTGGAGGAGGCCTTTGTCTCGTACTGAAGCACTCTGAGCTCGTTAAGGCCCTCGCGAAGTTACGCCAGCACTGCTTCTAGGTGCTCGTCTGCATCCTCAGGATCGGTCCCGCAGACCAAGCGCCAGATGAACTCAGCATCGGTGCGATACTCCTCTGCAATTGACTTGTGTTTGAGGAACAAGAACATGTTGACTCTGACTCGATAATATGGTGGTAGGCCGCTCGCTCTAAATAATTGTTTTGCTTGCTTGATGGTCAATGCCATGTTGGGGTCTTGAGACAGCTCGTCGTCATTGTCATGTGTGGCCGAAAGAACCTTCTACAGCTGGGCGATGGCCTCGTAGGCAGCGGCGAAGTCGTCTAAAGTGGCTAGTCGTTTGCCGTCCATGTTGGGTGGTTGTTGACAAGTTGAAGCGAGTTCCAGAAGTCGGAAATGAACAGATGAGTGAAAGGTTGGTCATGGTGGAATACCATGCCAAGCAGTGACAAACGCGGAGGCAAACTCCCAACGACAATCTGTGATTTCTTTCTTGCTTCTGGGAATGGTAAAAGAATCGCAGCAAGGACAGGATTTTGTTTATGTTCATTTTAATTACAATTCACAGATTCTGATATAATCAGAAAAAAGGAGTGTAAAGAGGATTAACCAGCACAGAATATGCCTGGTATAGCCAAAGAAAATTCATCAAGTAAAGGCAAAGTGAGGAGTGAAAGCAATAACATAGGAAAAGAACTATGTATATACTGTATACTGTACTCGGGGGGTTGTCATTGCTCACCACGAGGTGAGTTGGTTTTTGTAAGAAACCTCAACATCAAAATTTGATTTCGGGGTATGTCTCTTGGTCATCCTTGCTTAACAAGAGGTGATGAAAAGGCCGATAGCCGAGGGATCCCAGTCCTCGAACAGGCTTAGCTCAAGGCTGCCAGTGGCGCTGGCAAGGATGGAAATGGTAGACCCAGCCTGGCAGGCACCAGAGGAGACAACGTAGCTGTTTCCAGGAGTAACGCTGCTGATTGTGTCAAGGGTGCTCTTGACAGCAGGGTAGGTAGCGTAGGTGACGCTCAAGGGAGCAGGGGAAGTGAGTTGGTCGAACTTGATACCACCGGCACCAGACAAGGTGAAGTCAGAGGTAACGAGTTGGGACTTGTTGGGGAGGAGGAAGATGACACTGCACTGTTTGCCAGCGTAGCTGGAGGGGATGTCAAAGTTGAAGATGGTGCTGTTGCTGGAGCTCAAGTGAGCATTGTATTGGGTTCCGTAGGAAGTGCTGGAAGAGTTCTTGTTGACGGGGATGATAGCGTGAGGAGTCTGGTAAGCACCGGAAAGGGTGGTCTGGCAAGCGTTTCCGTTGCCGCCTGCAGTACCGCTGGCAGGGGCAGACGAGGCAGGCTTCGAAGAGGCAGGGGCGGATGAAGTAGGAGCCGAAGAAGCATGCTTAGAAGAGGCGGGGGCAGGCGAGGCGGGCTTGGAAGCAGAAGCGCTGGACACAGGTGTGCAGCCAGCGGCACAGTTCGTGACAGTGATGTAAGTCGAGTACACGGTTACAGTGTTTCCAGCGGGTGCCGATGAGGTGGGGACAGGCGAAGCAGGAGCGCTGAATGCAGGTGCAGAAGATGCGGGCTTCGAAGAAGAAGCAGCAGCAGAAGAGGCAGCAGCAGAAGAGGCAGCAGCAGAAGAGGCAGCAGAAGAGCTACTAGATCCGTTGGAACCGGCGCACTTGCCGCCAGAGCTAAGAGTGATCGCAACGCATCCAGTCTGAGCGCTAGCAGTGGTGGTGTAGATGTTGTAGCCACCATTGTCGCCAGTAGCACAAGCATAGAACTGGGTATTTCCATTGCAGGTTAGGTCACCGTTGGAGTTGACTGCGAATCCAGTAGTGGGCGAAGCACCAACATCGCATTGGAACTGGGTGGTAGGAGAGGTCAGGATGCATCCTCGGCCGTTCTTGTCAGTCAGACCACCGTTTTTGATGCAGTAGGTAGCTTGTCCAGTAACAAGTCCAGAAGTCTGACCGATTCTGTTCTGACCATCACTAAGCTGACCAACAGCTCCGGTCTTACCACCAGCGGCAGTCAAGGAGAAGCAGCATTGGTCGCGAGCAACCAGAATAGCAGCAGAGGCACCGAGGGCAAAGCCCAATGTTGAGTATACGCTTTTCATGTTTTGTATTGATTGAACGAGGGTGGTGGTGAGTGTGGTTGTGGAAAATCGATTTGAGGCGAGGAAGGGCAGACTACTTATATTCAGAGCTCAAGAGGTTCCTTGGCAAAGGCAGCAACCTCCGCACACCTCTCGTTTCTGTGATCTACGATTAACACTTGCCAAGTGTGTGACTTTCAAATTCAGCGTGGACATCAAGCTGTGAAGACGTACCAGCGATGGACCACGTTAGACGAAGCGACCTGTTACTTTGCGCCCAAGATTTGTCTGACGGCCTTTGCGACCTGCAATTCCTCGACAGGCTTGCCCTCGAAAGCGCTACCAGGGGCCAGCAACTTCTTGAGCATATCACCCACGACGACCTTGCACCCTGGGCCTCGGCCTTGATGCTGTCGATAGTGCTCTGCACAACATCATTGATGTAGTCCTCGCTGACAGTCTCGACGTTGCCGGTGTACTCCTCCAACACCTTGATGGCGGCAATTTCCTTCTCCGTCAAGTCTGCTCTTCCAGCGTTCGAAAATTCCTCGGCTGCTTGCGCGGCCGCGGACGAACGCTCGCGCAACAGCCCAAGAAGCTTCAAGTCTGTGCCGAGGGGTTGCGCGGTTTTTGCGGCATTGGTGACTTCGGCCAGCAGACCGCGCAACACATTGAGGCGGTTGGTGTCTCTAGCCTTCATGACCGTCTTCAGTTCGGAGCGGCGGTGCCGATGAGGGCGCGTCGGTCACATAGCGGTAGCGGAGGCAGAGCTGAGCGCTCCTGAGGACTGGTCGACTCCTTGCTGTGATTAGCTGCATTTTGTGTGTTGTGTGCGATAGGATGAATGTATATCCCAGTCCTCTAATCTTGTTGTTTGCTGCGCCTGAGCTCGGAGCTCTCGCTCGAGACTTGGCGCCAGATTCTTGGGAATGCGATCTTGTAGCATCTTCGATCCAGTCACGACAGAGTACAGAGGTCCTTGATGTTACCCTCTAGAAGCGATGTTTTGTCCAAGAGCTAGACCGGTGAAGGAGCAAACGTGTTTCTACACGAGCATCTAGTGGATAAATAGCACAACGGAGTGTGTGGTCGACAGTCTTGTCTGCATACCACTTAGTCCAATAGGTGGAAAGGGCCGTCGTCAAGGCTTGAGCCAACACGATTTACTGCGAAACCGCTTGAGTGAAGGCCAACCTTATTGGTGTTGAATGCAGGGATAGGTCTGCTTCGAGTGCATGTCTTTGAGAGATGGCGTGAGCACGTGTTTTCGAGGAGGATTGAGGCTTTGAAGAAGAAAGTCAAATGTAACGTCTGCTGCTGGCTGCAAAATAAGGCCCTGTTTTCATCCTCGTATGAAAGCGAAGATGACCACTGAGGGTGTATTTTCAAAGGCTCAATTTGCGTGATCGCATTGATGTATAACCGATAGTAAGCCCGCAACCGGTGCACCCACATGGCTTCATCGAATCTCTTGCGAAGGATTGCAGTGGAAAAGGTGGAGGAAAGAAGCAAGCCCACTTTGATTCTTGGCAGGCCCAGATTGGTTGCATGTGGCATACTGGTGAAATTTTGATTGGACACTTCCTCGGCACGCCCGGTCGGTCAAATGTGGATGCCCTCAACGTCTTTGCATCTCTTCACAATTTTTATTTGGCGAAGACTGCCGCCGCGTTGTGTTATCAGGATAAGCCGACTGTAGTCTGAAAACCCTCAAAGACTACAATATCTTTTGATCGGCTATCCAACGCAGCTGCCCATACAGAAACCGAGAACCAAGTTTTATGAGACTTCGACGAAGAGTATGACACTCAAGACCTGTTCTAACTTGGAGCTCACATGTTGGAGCAGTTAAAAGCTCACTCAGTCTACATCGGCTGGTTATTCGAACATGTATGCGTGGATCACGGTCACCACTTGGCGAGCTCTCACGACTGCTCGCGGTTGCCGAGCAGCTGCTAACAGCAGTACGGACCACCAATAAAATTGAGGTCCGATGTCAACTTCATTGATTTCACACGAGATACGGAAAACCATTCATTTCTGATCTCATGCATGCGTGTCCGATACCGATAGGCCATGCTTATTAATGGGGTTATCATTCATGATATTCTCCCCATTGCCATACCAAGGCCGCCAAGCAAAAGGCATCTGATCGATATACATGGCGAGCCATCGACTGACCATTCACATTTCGGTATGCCGATACACGATAAGATGAGACAGCATGCATGAAACATGCTGTAGGCTATCTATCAGGGTTTTGGTACATGCAGGACTCGCTATCGCATGTCCCTCTGCCTATCTCAAATGGGAAGAGCCTTGGACCTAAGATTGGGAAGAAGTATTGATAGTGATTTATGCCACTAATTTGACTATCTGGTGGCGGCCAGTCAAGAGACAATATTAGGCCTATCAAGGAGCGATAAACATGCGCCTCGCTGCGCTGCGAACACTTTGTCTCACCTATCGTGTGGTGGAACCGGCCTATATAAGCCCTCTCGAACCTCTCGAACGATCTTTCATGGTGGCCTTGACCCGTTCCCTCCATAAAACTCCGTCATGTCGACAGAAGAAGTTGAAGCTAAGGGTAAGAAGTTTTCCAGCGTCAAGATAGTCGCCGTGGAGAGACAGAATCTGTTAAAGGAGGTGGAGTCTCGGAAATCAGCAAGCAGGACATCGGTGAGTGTAATGGCAACATGTCGAACACAGACACAAACCTAACAGGACCAGTCGCTGCTAAGGGCGAGTATTCTGAAGAACAATACAAACACCTTCGAAGGAAGGTTGATCGATACTTGCTACCGCTCATGCGGTTATGCTATAGGATTCAGCAAACCGACAAGACCGCACTTCGTACACAAGCTGTCTTCGGCCTACGCAAAGACCCTGGTCTCCATGGCCAGCAGTATATTCTACATGCCTTTCACATGTCTCCTCAAAGTAGTACTTGTCTCATATCTTACAGATCTCATCTACATGGTTCTCGAGTTTCGTAGTAACATCATCTTACAACATTATAAAATGGGTAAGACCCCGTCGTATCACATGATTCGACGGAGCATCACACTGCTTTACATCGGCTTTGATGAGCAATCAGGCGATCTGAATCCGGTCACAATGATGATATTTCCAGCTCAAGATCTTACGCACCTGCGCGAACATCCGAAGCGACCGAGCAATTACCAATCATACATTCCTTACACAAATCATTGCATACTTGCAAGCATCACTATCGTGGGGTGGATGATCGCCAGTCAAGACAGAACGAGCCTGGAAGATTTGCATAGGACTTCGACAGTTGCACTCGGGTCGAGAATCTGCGCGAGTATCGTAGTTCGAAATGGATACATAATCAATCTGATTACTAAAGTTGGCTGTAGTCTGCCGCTTGTGCTCCCTTACGAATCAGCAAAGTAGCAGCTCGCTTCTTCCGCCGTGGTGGCACTCGATCAGGCTGAGCTATCTCTGGCATCATATGGTATCCCATTTTGGCATCTCTCTGCTTTTTGAACTCGCAGAGCGCATTCGGTGTTTGTTCAGCGCTTACATCTTAACACGCGCCTGCCACTTGAAGATCACAGAGTACCCAATCGACGCAAGCAGATCAAGCAACGGCACACGAAACCATTTTCTAGAAAGACACAGACGGCTTTCCCTTATCTTATAGTCAGCATGCATGCTCGTCACAGGTCTAGAAGAAGTATACGCTATACTTGAAAGCGACAAGGAAATCTTAAGACAAGGAATCTGGTAAACAGAAAAAGGCTCAATAGTAAGGGCACAGAACGAGCCCCAGTGATCAGGGATTCTTTACGTAGATAGAGCATCCAAAATCGATGTACATGATGTCTGAGTGGTGGGGCAAAAGAAGGAAGTCGTGGCAACATGGTTGCGTTATAGATACCACAGAGAAGCAAGACAACGTGATTGACTTGGGAAAGTTCTTCATACAAACACATCCTGCTCGCCTGTTGTCAGTTGTGCTGTCTCGCACTTCGAACCCAACACGACGTGACACTCGTCAATCACCACTCGATCCAAATAGCCCACCGACTTCCTTCGCCGCTTGAATCGCTGGAATGCGTGGCCTACCGCTGCCTCCAGTGTCAACAAAACGATGTTTGCTCACTCGGGTGGTCGGCTGGCGTCCCGTTCGGCAGACTTGATGCCACTCGGCATCTGGTCTCATCATGGTCCTCAATGCTTGTAACATATCGAACTGCTGGGACGCCTTCCATCGCTGGAACTTCTCCTGCATGCGTTGCTCCATCTGTGCCCTTGAATGCTTCCTTTCGCGCGTGGCAATGAACGGTGATTCGCTGGCCATTCGACCGTGAATGCTGTCTTCGGTACTTAATGAATGTCCGGCTTAGTATGCCCTAACTGCTACATTGCTGTTGACCGCGTCTTCCGCCTGTGCGGCCTGGTATTTTTATTTCCCCTTGCTGCTACCGAATGCCGTGTCCAACGTCTGTCTGATGCCGTCGTCTACAGCCAACTGTCGGTGGATTGCTGGGATATTTCTCGCCACATGGCCAGTCCGACGCGTACACCTATGCCGTCTTTGGTGACCTCCTGTAACAACCTCCGGTATCTGGCTGTGCTGTGTGAACTGTCTGGATTGCTAGGCGTGAACTCTGCCTGTTTTGGCGTGCCTGCTCGTGCATTATCATCTGCCTCCTCAATGAATCCTTCATCTTCCTCATCACTGTCGGTGTCGGTCTCAGTGTTCGTGTCGGTGTTGTTGTTAATGTCGATGTCGCTATCACGGCTGCTGTTGCTATTGCCATCTCCATCGGGTCTGTTTACACCTGCTTCGGCTTCTGCACCCTCCTCTTTAGCTAATATCTCATCCCAATCTTCGTCTGTCTGGTATCTCCATTGTTCTTTGGGCTTCGGCTCCTAAATGAACGCCCCCATACTCTTTTTGGTCGAAAGCCGTCTTTTACAATGCCCTAACATACGGCTGGACTAAGCACGAATAATACATTACCAACCCCGACAACTCTTCCGGCACGTGTCGATCGATGATCTAGACGCCCTTCTTGTTGTACGATGTAACAAATGACACCAATTCATTGTCGACAAACACACCCCTAACCCTACAGTCGTCTACACCGTTTTTGTATGCGACGGTGACACTCTCCGCGCCGTGGGCGGGTGCACCATCTGTCAAATGGACCAAAATGAACAACTGCTCATGGGATTTTTTGACAGCCTTGAAATATATTGATGCCGTCATCACTCCATAGGATGGAGGTGTCGTTGTTGTCATCGCTGTCATCGTTGATACTCGTGCCCGCCGTACGTACAAACCGGCGTACTAACTCGCTGTCAACACGGCTAACGCGCTGATCAAGCCGTTTCTGTACTCGCTGTCTCCTATCTCATGGTCTAACATGACTATTCAAAACTCCATACACGCGTGTTCGATCTGTTTCGCCATGCTCATTTGCAAGAACCCTCATCTTGGAACATCATAAGCGCGCCAAGTTAGGAAGCCGTCCTCCAGGAATAATGACCCTCCGGCAGTACGTTTGTGGCCACGGGGGGAGCGTTCGAGGCGTGTCAGCATGACCTTGGCGCCAATACTCGAAGATTCCTGCCATGGCTGGTAGGCAGACCATAGTCATGTATGTGGATGTACTAGTATCAGTGAAATAGCGCTCATCGGATTGTGTTCGAGGCGCGCATCTAATGGAAATGAGGCGAAGCCGAATCAGAATAAAGTTACCGTGCGGCCCGATCTCAGGAGCCTTTAATCCCGGGGAAGTGGACCTGAACTTTACTTACACTCTATCTCAACACCAATGTCACCATGTTTGACAAGTTGGTCACATCGTTAGCTGTACACGCTTGTTCGTATCGCTTCGGAGTACCTGACGACTGTGCAACAAGCATCGTACTTATATGTGATATCCGTTGGTACACAGCCCTCGAACCGGTTGTCAACCGGCTTATTCCCGCTGATTTATTCCCGACCCAAGTTCAAACTATTCCAGTGCAGTCCCTGTCTGTTTTGCCAGGTTGACCCTGTCAATAACGGCTCGAATATGCCAAGTGGGGTGTGTATCCGTACCTCATGGATTACACCATGGCCAAGCCTTACCATTGACCTGTCCCTTGTTCCCACAATTTCAACATCCGTTTGTTCTTGATCATCATCGTCGAAGAAGGTTGTTCGGAATCAGTTGCATCTCCATAAACTCACCGTCGCGTCCTTCCTTCTGTCAATTTACCTTTTTCTGATTGCCTTATTCTTGTGACTTTCTCCTTCCAGGCTTGTTCATCTTCTTTTCCCCAGTCCAATTGTTCTTCCTTCTGCAGTCCTACGTCTCAAGCCTGTTCCTCTCTTTCACAATCACCTACCATTGACCTGTTATACACCCGAGAACAATCCTCGCAAAAGGTGAACAAGATTCAAACGACGGATTAGCCAGTATGGCGCCTCCGAAATCGGCGAAGCGAAAGGCCGTTTCCTCTGCCTGCATTCCTTGTCGCAAACGCAAGAGCAAGGTCAGTCGCATGACATCGTGTTGCAGGATTTAGAGATTTAACGATCCAATTGTTCTGCAGTGTGACGGAGGTCTCCCTTCCTGTTCCACCTGTATGGCGGTTTACCGAACAGACTGCAGTTACGACCAAGACACGGACCACCGACGCAAGGGCGCACTTCGAAAAGATATAGCATCACTCCAAAATAAAAACACCGTGCTCGATGTCATCATCAACTCCTTGTGTGCTCTTCCAGAGCACGAGGCCACTGCACTGTTTCATAGCCTACGCCGAGGTGAAAGACTCGACTCTCTAGCTGAAGCCATCAGTGGTGGAGATACCGAAAAACTGCAAGCATTAGTTACCGACCTCCCTGGGCCTGACGGAACTCCAGGAGCAACATCTGACACACAAGCTCCTTCAACACGAAACGAATCGTCACGCAGTCCGGCGGATGGCAAGTGGAATGATGCAGGAAGCCAGAGCGCAGCAGCAGAAGGGTTATCCTCTTGGTTCCGTATACCTCAAGACGCAGAGTTTGTGGACCATCTACTCAACCTTTATTTCTGCTGGAGCCATCCGTTCTTTTGCTTCTTCTCAAAAAGTCATTTCTTGCGGGACATGGCACGAGGTTCAACCAAGTACTGTAGCGCTTTGCTGGTCAATGCGGTGTGCTCAGTGGCTTGCCAATACTCCGATCGACCTGCAGCATGCGAACGAGCTGGAGACTACTTCTTTGGCGAGGCACAAAGACTTGCTGAGAACATCAGCGCGTTAGAACTGACATCTGTCCAAGCTATGGCAGTGATGGCCGTTAGAGAGGGTTCTGCAGGCCGTGACCACATTAGCTTCCGCCTAATCGGAAGAGCTGTGCGTCTTGCTATGGAAATGGGCCTCCATCTGGCAGACACTACCGCAGGGAAGCCAGATTTATGTTCCAGCGAGATGGACATCCGAAAGCTGACTTTCTGGGGTGTCTTCAACTGCGAGATGATCTGCTGCCTGGCATTGGGCAGGGTATCTTCGATACATAAGAACGCTGTTGAGATTGATAAACGGAGGTCACGATCATCTGGTCATCTCGGCGAGTACTGACTTGTTTGCAGCTATGAACTCAGAAAAGTTGGACGCACTGTTCTGGCAACCTTACGAGGACGTCAACTTGCCAGTCAGTCCGAGCGCTGTACAGCCTATGAAATGCCTACTGTTCCACAACATCCAGAGTAAGCTCTCTGAGATGATCAATGACATCAACCTCAATCTTCATGCACCCAGAGAGAGGTTCACACCGCGTCGACTGGCTTCAGCATATCATCAGTACCAAATGTGGTACAGCGAGCTGCCCAAGATGTTCCAGCTTCAGAACACCGCAATGCCTCACGTTATTGTGCTTCATATGTACTACCACCAGTGCGTATTGCAGTTAGTGCTTTCAAGAAATAGAACATTGATTCCTGCTAACCGATATAAGTCTGTTCCGACCTTTTATGAAGCTCGACCTCTCAGACATCGGACTCTATCCGCGGGAGCTATTGACCTATTGCGCCACAGAGATTTCAAAACTCATGAATGCGCTCCGTGCAATGTATGGATTGAGACGAACGTCTCTGGCCGTCAGCTCCATCCTTCTTTCGGCCAGCACAGTCCATCTCATGAACCTTCCCTCTCAAGGTGCAGCAGTTCAGCTCACCCAAGCGATGCGTAAGTTTGCCCCTGAACCTGTTCGACGACGGGATGCTAACCCCCCTCTAGAAGACTTGGATAAGATGTCTGTGAATCACCGTTATGCCTCGTGCTGTTTGGAGGCGATCAACCGACTGGCGAATCAGTGGGGTATCAGGTTGCCTGAGGCCACTGCCAACTTAGCGCCTTTTCCATCTCCGAAACCCGACCAAGCTATGCCGAACATGTCGCTGTTTTTCACACAAGCAACACTCAGCAATGAATCTCCAGAATCACATGTCACTCCTCCCGCCCAAAGTCTAAGACACGATTCGTGTAGTATATTCGAACCATCTCTTGCTGCACACAATATGCCAATCCTGCCGACCAATAGTCAGTCATCTTTAGGGGTGGCATCACAACACAGCATGCACTCTACGCCTGTGAATACGACTCTGGTCCAGGCACAAATGAACATGTGGTCATCATTCCCTTCTCAACAGATGTCGACGCCAATGCAGTTACAGTCACCGACGGCAGACTTTGATGTGATAAATGTCGACTCTTCGGCTTCTTTTGGATATTAGAACTATCAGCAGGCTCAATGACTATCTGGGATATCCGCTTTCTAAAGGCTGAGAATAAGCCGATGAGATTCAAGAACAACAGAACGAGGAATCCAGGTGCGGTACATCTCTCATGATGGCCAGTAATACAGAACGCAGGCTGTTACGCAATGAGAGAATCATAGTGTGTTCTGAGACTCATTGCAATGGCTCAGGAAACAATCAGATATGACCCATGCCATACACATCTCTGGTGCATATACCAACTACTTAATTACATTATATAGACGATGAATCGTCATGAACACCAGACGGCATTCACCTTCACTCGTCTTTTGTTGATATAGCATGCTGTTGATATGGCATTTCACTCACACGACTTCGACGCATACTCGGTTGCCGCAACTTTCGAATGAATCGCTCATTTAAAGATCCCTCATCAAACAGCAAGAGACATCGCTTAGAGACTCTGCACAGCCTCTCCACTTCTTTGTCACGGTTGTCACGAGATTGGTGGACCTCTATATAAAAGATCTACACAGACATGCCATTGCAGCCATCGTATGCCGTGCAAGGTATAACAGCAGCATCTTGGCCGTTCGAACAGTGCAGTCTATCCACTACTTCTACCGCGCCATCATCTAGCCGCGCTTCCTCAACCCGAGCATGTCGTCCGTCCACCCCTTGATCTTCGTCCCAGCTCTAGCCTTCAACTTCGTCAACCCGCTCTACCTCTCCGGGTAGCTCGCTAGCTACGGTCCCACCACTGTTTACGATTGGGTCGACCGCCTCTACCAGATTAAAAACGGACTCGTTATCTGGGGTTGGGCTCTCGGCAACATTTTCCACAACCACGACCTCCGCGACATCCGCCGCTCCGCTCTACATCGTCAGAGAGAGCAGGCCAAGAAAGATAACAAGCCCATCGCAGGTATTCAGAAGCTCTACATGATGCCCAAGAATGGGTTGCCTCATTACATTCTCTTCCCTCACTACCTTTGCGAGTAATGAGTGGGTGGGCTTCTGGATGATTGGAGGCTTGAACTGTACTCCAGCAAGAATCTCCCTCTTCAACGAGATTAGCACTATGTTGCCTCGTGCCCTTCAGGGAAGACCTTGGTACATTCAGAAGTCTGGCAAGGACAAGGTTGGCAACCGTAAGGCTGTCGTTTCTGACCTGATCTGAGCTGCTGTTGTGCGATCACGGTTAGTGATTTGACACGGAGTCTTGTTGACTTACGACTAGGTCTGTTTAAGGAGTCTGGTCATCAAGCACACAATTGGACTGGGAATAGTACTGGCAGTTACCATACTTTGCTGACTGTCAGTCAAGTACACTTTTCTCGCCCGTCGACCACGGCCTTTGGCCTCCACGTCTTGCGCCTAGCTGTATATGCATTGGATTCCTGCAATTCTTGGCATATGTGCACAGCTTTGCTAGAGTGGAAGGTGTTGTTGTTTACTGGAAGATGATTCACAATTGGTGTTGTGGTCTAGTGGCGTGACATCTTAGCATTGCTCTCGTCCAGCAGTTGTGGGTTAGTGAAGGTTCTGGGCTTGAGTCCCAGCTACTCCACGTTTTGTTCTTTTGTTTGTCTGTTAAGGTAGGCATCCGTGTTTTTGCTTAGCCCGTCTGGTGCAGAGCCTGATTTCGTTCTATCTTGCTAAGCTGGACGTAAAGGTCGAATATGGTTGGTGAAATGGCATGGTGGACCCATTGGCAGTTGAACGTACTCAAATTTCATCGTGTAACTCATGTACTAGGTTGAGCTCTTCTCGGGCGCCACTATAACGGTCTGAGGGCTCCAGACATCACAGTAGATGTTACGTGGGTCGATCCTCGGGTTCACCCCATAATGTTTTCCAGCTCCTCAACAGATATCGTGCAGGATATTCGCTTACAGTGCCATCGAGCAGCGCATGGTGACAACAATGCATGGATGCAACAGCCAGTTGTTCTGGGCCTCTCTTATAGGGGTAGATTGCCTGTTCACGACGCTACACCGAGAGATGTAAGAAAGCATAAGATCCAAAGACAAAGCATGTACCTTGCAGCTTGACAGCTAGGAGTCGACGGCAAAACTGAGAGTGTTCTCAAACTCCATGGCTTTCGACATAGTGGTAGTTAAATAACAACGATTTGGTACAACAAGAAATGTAAGCCGCGGAGCGCTGTACTTGAGAAGCTTGCATATTTCAGGCATGGCATGGATTTCAAAAGCTGCGATGTGTTGCATCTCGGTCTACATCCGCCCCTACCAAAGCATACAATGGACGATGACACACAGAATGCCGAACATCACTCGCAAATAGAGTCGTCGTATGGTGACATTTCCGATGGTGCCTTTAGCCTCTCGCCAATTACATAAGACAACTCCCCACAACATGATCGTTTCCCAGCTATCCAAAGAGGATCGATCTGCACACCGGGCTTGAGGTATGCCGAACAGCTAGATGGTTTTCAGTTGACAGTATCACCAGCCCGGCGGCAGTTAAGTTGCACCAAGGGATACGGCGACTTCCTATCAGACCCATATGGAACGGAGAGTTGTTCGGACTGCTGAGCAGCCTTTACGGGGCCGCAAACGAAGATGATGTTGATGACAAGTAGGAAGATCCGAACACTGATATGGCCATGGACCCTCACCTTCCGCGGCCCAGGAATGCGATAGATCTCATTTGCATTGACTTGAGGTCTGACCTTTGGTCCAGTCACGAGTCCGCCAACATCCACAGCACGCGTAAGCGCTTGAGGCACCATCTCAATATACACAGTGCAAACCGGCAGGGAGAGTCAAGTTACATGTAGACACGAAGGGTCCGGTTCCAGAAGGTCGGAATGGTGGTCAAACCTGCTTATGGCTGGAACGATATAGTAGTCTGGGGGAATGATTACATGCAAAGCCTAGACAACTGTCCCTATCCTGTACGTGATTATACAATATCTTAACAGCAACGCGAGTGCTACCTTCCAGGCTCGATCTCAGCTTGCTGAATAACAGCAGCAGCGACATCGATGTTCTCTGGTGGCTCAGAATCATAGCAGAGCTTTTCTCAGGACGGCATTGTGACCTAGAGCTCTTCTAAACCTGACATCCCTATCGGGCCTAGTGATCCCACTGGCCATGGCTACGAGTACATGATCAATGCAACGTCCTCTGGCAATCGTCTTTCTTTTCTTCCATGCGTGCCGCATCCCTCAAACGCATCACATTTAACATCATGAACGTCTGATCCTAATGAAAGATCAGGTCTCATGTTCTTCCAGCGCTAGCGGTGTAACAGGCCCTGATAAGGTCGTAGGTTGCAACTTAGGGCTGCTTGGTTCAGCCTTCAACAACGATTTTCTACCCTGTCCTTCGTCGAAGTCGAGTACCTCACATCGGTACGTTTTCAGCCGCTTCTGTGCTTCTACAACTTGCTTGTGCCGCGACTGAGAACCGAGCCGTGCTTGGTTACGATCTATGCCAGGTGATACAGTTGGAGCACTGCCGTGCTGAGGCGTGGGAAAGTTTGCTGGATGGAAGCGCGGAAGCATCGGTAGCTCAGAATGCTGTCTATCGTGCTTACACTCATTTGCCGACGGTGGCTGTAGGCAGTGTGAATAAAAAGTGCCAGACTTCTTGCACAGGGAGGCGTCTGCACTTTGTGGAGCAAGACGAGGCGACTGCTGTTGCTGTTTCTTAACCTGAGCAAGGGCAGTAACCCCAATCGATGGAGGCAGAGGCTTATCAGACTTGCGCGACGACGATTTTGTCAAGTTCTCGATCTTGTTCGACTCGATTGCAGCCTTTGTGGGGCGGTAAACCTTCTGATGAGTGCGACGATGTTGTTCCATGTTGTCCCTGCGGATGAAGGCTCTGTTGCACTCTGGACAGAAAGCATCCTTCTTTCCAGTGTGTGTCCTAGCATGACGTGCGGCATGCCCTGACGTGGTGAAGCGGTCGCTACAACTGAAAGCCTCGGCTAATGGGCATGGATATGTGTTCTTCCTTACGGCCGGCCTGGTTGGCAGAGTTGACACATTAGACTGACGTGGTGATTCTTGGGTTGACGAGTTGACAGAACACCATAAAGGGGTGTTCGTTATGATTGGCATCTGAGGAGACATGATGTTGGATGCCTCCAGAACTGACGGGTACGTACCGCGTCTCTTGGAAAGGCTCAGCGTCGATCTCAGTGAGGCACAACTCGAGGCACCTGAGCGATTGCTCGCCGCCGACAATGTCCTGGAAGGTGGAAGGCGCGTATAATCTTGCGCCGGCGAGTCGTCAATGAGCAAAGAGACCTTCCGTCCAACGCTGTTTTTGCCGTTCATTATGTGGTACAAAGAGAAAGAATGAAAAGAACCTTGGCTCAGCCTTGATGGAAGCAAACAGGAAGTTGCAAGCAATGCGATGCAATGCTATGCCAGACTGGCTATGAAAAGATTATGTGTTCAAGGTACCAGTACTTATGGAACGACGTTATTGCTGTGCAGATAGACTGAAAATGTAGTCGGTATGTAGAAGTATCAGGATGCAAGGGCACAGGTTCATTGAGATAAGCAGGCAGGAGAATACAAAAACCGCTTTATAAGAGGATACAAGCCAGATAGGGCAGAGAAGGTGACGGCGGGACTTACTAAACTTCAGCTCCACCATTTCTGAGCATGGCAGTGCCTGTCTGGAGAAGCCGGGATAGCCAAGCTGCAGACTCTTGAACACAGAGCCATTCTGTGATGTCACGGAGCAGCATGGCTTGCAATGTAGTTCCTGCGAGCACACAAAATACATCCACTGAGATTGATGCAGGCTTTGAGCAAAACCTTATCGCTGCAAGCGCTGCTATTGACGGAAACAACGATGATACAGCACTTCTCAGAAAAGCATGGATCCTCAAGTTTATAAGTCACAATCCAGAGGTTGCTTCTGGCATTGGACGGAGAAGTGATACTGCTGGGCTTAATGGGACACACCCAGAGGCTATGTTGGAGTTCTATCAACGCTTCAAACCCACAAGAACGGCGTATGACGAATCGTCGACCTCCATCTGAGTGGACTTCTCAATACGCTACCTGGGTAAAGCGGAACTGCATTGTCGGGAATAAGGACAGAGACATCCGGAAATAAAGCAGGTACAGCCACCTCCAACTATTTCCCGTCTACCCGTCACAGAGACTTGGCGAACGGTTGAGCTATGCACGAAAGGACAATATCGGCGGACATGGATCCGTGCCGAGTGTCTTGCTACTTCACTCAAGGTCGTGGCACCACAACTTGGAAAATGCCGATTTTTGCTTGCGGACGCGCGCCGTTGACAAGTTTGTTTCTTGAACCCCCCACGAACGCCCCGGTGACGCGGATCAGCCCGCTCTATACTCTACACACCTGGTCATATCAACCGCCTCGGCTAGGAGCTGACTGAGTTTAATCATTCCCATGAGTCCCTGAACACAGTGTAAACAAGGCGCAATCGACCATGCCTCATCATGATGTTGAGCGAAGGACTTCTGGCCTTCTTCTCATCTGTATCTCCCTGGTGTAGGCCGCACGCAACGCTCACACCGCTATATGGAAATCTAGAGAGAACTAGGAGTACTGGATTTGACTCAGGGAGAGAAAAATCCGCAGCCGGTCGATCTCGTGGAACATTTTGCCAGCAAGGTTCCTACCGGAATCATTTCTAAGCTTCTTGGTGTGCCTGAGAACGAAGTGGAACAGCTTGCGAAAGATGAGTAAGTCCACCACAGCACAAGTCGAAATGCTGCCGATTCCTCAAGCACAAACTTGCAAGACAGCATGCGCCGACTCGTTCAGCAGCGTATCAAGAATCCCAGGGATGATCTCATCAGCAAGCTGCAAGCTGGTCAAAGAGACAAGTCAGGGGACGCGGAACCCCCAGCTCGAAGGGAGCTTCTCTCTAACTGCGTTACCAATGTAGAGCCATCATCTTATCCAACAAAGGCTTCATCTTATCCAACAAAGGCTACGAAACGTCAACCAAAAGGGACAAACAAAGTGGGAGGCTT